AGAGGATGTGAAACTCGCCAGGTTTTTTTTCTTTCTATTTTTACAGAGCAAACGAAAATGTGTCCTCTCACCCTCTTTATCTCTTTTCCTTCCTTTTACAAAGGCACTTTCTCTCCTTTTTTATTTGCCCTTGTTCTTTTCCTAGAGCGTTTCTACCTTGTAAATGCAAAAGACTGGATTTACCTTACTGAATTAGGTAAAAGCTTACTTTAAGAGACGGAAAGTGGGGGGCATAACTGACCACACTTAGCACTATATGAGTTCCTTCCTTAGTAAGAGAGATGCACTTGGATCCAGCCACGGCTTTCTCATTCTTCCCTCTTATGCCCATGAGTTTTCCAACTACTGGTTGGGGAACGGAGAGCTGAAGGTGATAGTCATAAAGTAGAGAGAAGGTGGCTGGCTCTTCCTCAGGAGCGCAGCTTCTGTCACAACTGCAGCCAGTTGAGCTAACTAGGTACATTTGTTAGAAGAAAGACTGTGCTTTTGTGAAGAAGTATGCCAAAATTCTGCACAATCCCCAGGCAACAGATTCTTTTGGGTGTATTTAGTGAAAGGCCATTTGGGAAATGGACAGTATAGGCAGCAAATCGGATTTTGGTTAAATGGTGACATTTGTTTCCAAGAGTGTATCAGAGGGGAGGCTAAGCTCTTCAGAGCATGTGTTCATTAAAGATTTGAAGTGGAGTGGGAGGCAATAATTAAAAAAAAGGCCAGTGGGTTCTCTGGCGAGATAGTTTTTTGTTCCTATGAATTGAATACACTCTCTGTAAAGTTTCAAAAAGAGTCTGGGAAGAATGTATTTGCTTTGATCCAACATGTGGAGTGTTCCTGACTACAAACGCCCTTTAATTTAGAAACACTGCTGAAAAGTCTGTTTGAAAGTACATAAAAATATAGTATGTAAATAAGCCCTAATTAGTTATTTCCATTAATTACCTTTTGTCTCTACTTTACAGCTCTATTTTTCTCCCCATAATGTAGCTTTTCAGAGTCCAGCTTTGGCACCCTCTAAAAAAATGTTCTTTTGTAATAGTGATTATTCACAAAAAATTTTCCCCTGTGTAAAAACCCCACAATGATAAAATAAAATCCCAGATTGTGTATCTTTATGGGGAATTGTTTCAGACAGTTTAGTCCATGATTTGCTACTATGATAGTAAAGGAAATCTTGCAGTTAATTGAAAAAACTCGTGTTTCCTTCTTCAAATAAATGGCATGTATTGTTTTTTAGAAAAAGAATCTACATCAAGCCACTAACTAGCCTCTAATCTTCTTTTCCAACCATTCTATGTTCTTTCAAATACAAATACATTGGATTTAGGGGTTAAAAGTTTCATTCTTTCTAAAGTGAATAGGATACTCCCAGTGGAGAGAAGAATGCTCTGGAAAAACACTGGCAAAATGAAGTCAGGTCGTATCTACATCGCCAGTTTTTTAGAAATTGACTGAGAACCTAAAATATTGATTTTTTTGTAGCCTACAGGGTAAACTATGTGACAAATTCTGAACTTTTCACTGAGTGGTCTGCACACCCTCTGCACTTTTGTTGGATAGAAGCAGAATTTTAGAGCTTGAGGGACCTTGGAGGTCACCTAGAAATCAGGGAGCAATTCTCAGCTTTCAGCCATCAAAGTCCCTGGTGTGGGTTGGGGATAGGATGGGAAGGGGAAGGATGCTCATTAGAAATGCAGATTTTTGGTTCCTACCCAAGATCTACAGAGTCAAAATCGCCTCAGTGGGAAGAAGGGTCCACATTTTTCACACACATCTCCAGAAAATTCCATTGCTCACTCAAATTTGGCAATTCATCAATTAAGGCTAACACATTATTTTGTGGTGAGGAGGCAAGGCCTAGAGAGGCTGATGGTCAGGCTCACAGTGGTCCCTACGTAGACTCAGGCTTCCTGCCGTTAGACTAGTGATTGTCTGCACCCCATGTGTCTAAAGTAGTTTTGAGCATGCAGACAGGTTCTAACCTACTTCTGGGTCATTAGGGTGATTTCAGCACCAAGAGTAGGTTAGCATGGTTCTACATAAAGGTATGAAAGTAAAGACACCCAAGGACTAAAGGTAGGTGTTTATGTGCTGCTGCTTTTGTCTAAACTAAAACCTGAATGGACCTTATCCATCCTTTCTGTCTTTTATGAGCCATGAGACCTGTGCACGATTGTGAAGATGTTAACTAAGTTAACTGAGTTGATCCCCCAGCACGGTGAGCTTTGGATCTTTGTGCCCAGTTGATATGAACGTTCTTAGGCTATAGGCTTTCTTAAAATGGAGGTTTGTGTATTTTAATATTGCCTATGTATGTTGCATCCAGAAAATTATAATAAGGTCATTAAAATTATAGACAGATAAACCCAGTAGCACCTACTAGGGAATATATAAATATCCAGCAAATGCTTATTGATGTCTGTTATATCCAAAATTTATTTTTTCAGTGTTCCGTGGTGAGAATTTAAACTGTAATGATGATCCTGAATTTCTGCAAGATCATGATCACCTTTTAAGTCATTAGAAAGATTGGATTCTACTCAGTGTCATTTTAGTGTCAGCCAATTTGTCTATTAATTTTTGGAAACAGCAATATCCCACTGTCTAGGATATGTTAAGTTCCACTGAACTCTGTTCCACAGTTCATTTTCTTTCCTTTTCCTTTCCCTCTCTTTCTCTCTCTCTCTCTTTTCTTTCTTTCTTTCTTTTTTCCTTCTTTCCTTCCTTTCTTTCTTTTTTCCTTCTTTCCTTCTCTCTGTCTCTCTCTTTCTTTCTTAGGGCCTTCCTCTATCACTCAGGCTAGAGTGCAGTGGCATGATCACAGCTCACTGCAGCCTTGATTTCCTGGGTTCAAGTGATCCTCCCACTTCAGCCTCCCCAGTAGCTGGGATTACAGGCCCTTACCACCATACCTAGTGAATTCTTTTGTATTTTTTATAGAGACAAGGTTTCACCATGTTGCCCAGGCTGGACTCAAACTCCCGGACTCAAGCAATCCACTGGCCTTGGCCTCCCAAAGTGCTAGGATTACAGGTGTGAGTAACCACACCTGGCCAGTTCCACAGTTCCTATGTGAACATGTGTCATATATAGTTCTTAGAATGGACAACATATTTTAACAGGGCTATTAATGAAAGGCTGTTTTGAGAAGCAGGTGATCAGGTTAAGAGGATCAGTTTTGGAATCGCTTTGGAAAATTAAAATTTCTGTATATACAGTTTATGTGAATGTGCATGTGCCAGATAGTACTCAGTTTATCATTCCTTCAACATAAATATTGATTGTCTCCTGTGAGTAAAGCTCTATGTGAAGTGCTGAGGATAAAAAAATAGATCTGAGAAGTTTCTAGCGTGGTCCTGGTTGGACAAGTTCATAAAAAGGCATGATAATTTCAAAAGGCACGTGCTAAATGCTAAATGAGTAATGCAGTCAGTGAGTGCAGGGAGCAGCACTCCAACATTCACAGCGCTGTAACAGTGGCAGGGTCTCCTTTGTCAATCAGGAGCTACATGTGTGTTGATTCGAACTCTTCTTTCACACATTTCTCATTCCTTAGCCAGTGTGAAGAACAGGAGCTTGTTATGATGTTTTTGCTGCTCAATAGTAAAGAAATAGCCATTCTAGAAGGGAACTGGATGAAGCTCTGGAAGCATAATACTAATATATTTACTTGCCTCCTTCCTACTTCTCTTGTATTTAAAAACAATGAGCTCTAATTCTCTTTCCAGAGGATACACTAGAAACTGCTTAATTACTGATGACATTGTATTTGTGATGAAATGAAAGTTCTGTTGAGTCTTGCAGTACTTTCATTCATGGAATTCATGTGAATCAGAATCTTCTTAGGCTGGTAGTTTGTTAAATAAATGTGTTTGACCTTCTTGTAATGGAAATGGGTTACAACACTGATCATTATGTTATTAGTAGTAGTAGTAGTAATTGTAGTAGTATGGAAAGATTAATTCATTTTTGCCCTACTTCATGAAATAGGCTTAATGTCAAATCTTTTTGATCTATATAGTTCTTGGTATCCAACCATAAAATGGGCCACATATAAGGATTTCTGAAATGAAAGCTACAGACCAGAAATGTCAGAATATTGATGCTATTTGTGTATTCTTGATTACCTGTTCTGGATCTGCCAGGATTTTGTCCTTGGGGATGGTTGTGATAGAATTTACATTACTCAGTAGAAGACAGTTCTTGGACTTTCTTGTAGGCAACCAGTAGTCTTAGGCAAGATTTGTTGAAGTAAAGAGCAGAGAATAGGGTGCTGTGTAAGGAGAGGTAATACGTGTTAATGTACGGAGGGTGGATTAAGCACGCTGTGTTTATCTGGGTACCAGTGAGGAGGGTTCTCTGACTGGAATAAAGTGATTACATTCCCATTGGACAGTAGTGGGAGGGAAAGTTAGAAAGGTGAGATCCAATCAGAGGCCAAATTCCTTACAGTGATTTAGTAAGCAAAGGAAGGCTACATATCAGTTTTGGGGATTATTTTAGCATCAGACAACTTTAGAGCCAAATCCAAACTCTGGCTTTTTCTTGGTTAGGTAAACTTAGAAAAGATACTTAACCTCACAAAAATCTTAGATTCTTCATCTATAAAATAGAGTCAATAATATCTTCCTCATAGAGAAGTTGTCCTGATTAAAGAAGATTCTATATGAGAAGCCCTCAGCAAAATGCCTGGTGGAAATGGAGTTCTGAGCAGGGCAGTGAGGAGATAAAGGCAGGGTTGTAGAGAGGCTGATCTCTGGCACTATATGCAGAAGAGATGGAATCAGAAGAGACCCGAGACGGGGCACTAGTTTATGGCATAGCAATACCCTAGGAGGTGAAGGCGCAGGCTGTCATACTAGGAAGAGCAGGACACAACTGTACAACTCTATTCTCTTTTCGTTGAAGACTTTCATTTACCTTGAGGTAAATGAAATATAACCTTGTTCTGTGGTGTTAAAAGTACAACAGCAATCATAGATTCTTTCTTTTTCCTTGAACAGGCTGCCAGCGATCCATAGGCCTTTCCAATGGGAAAGCCAAGGTGTGCAACTACAGTGGGTGGTATTACTGCAGCAGCTGCCACGTGGACGACAGCTTTCTCATCCCAGCACGCATAGTCCACAACTGGGACACTTCAAAATATAAGGTAGGTACAAAAACTGGGCTCACTTCATAATAAGAATTCAGGTGTTCATGTGTTCTCCGGTGGATTATAAAGATAGTGATCAAACAGTTTGAAGCAGATGTGATTAGTAGTCTCATAAAAGCCGCAAGACCTTACCTAATGCTTCTTATACATCTCACAGTTGAAAGCCTTCTTAACTATAACTCTTATTAGTTTCCTCATTTAAAAAGACATATAGAGCAGTTTTTACTTCTGGTGCTAAGAGAGAATTCTGTGAGAAAGGAGCCTCTTTTATTATTATTATTATTATTATTTTTGATGGTTTGAGAACTTTATTTTTTAAGCAGTTTTTCTCCTTTTTAAACTTGTGTTCTTAAGAACTTGTTTTCTCATACTCCAATGTTTGCAGTTTTCTAAGCCCCCTCTTCTTGGCTCATTACTGAGTCCTCCACTTTACTCTCCATCCTATTTAATATTAAAGTATAGTTCGGCCGGGCGCGGTGGCTCACGCCTGTAATCCCAGCACTGTGGGAGGCCGAGGCAGGTGGATCACAAGGTCAAGAGATTGAGACCATCCTGGTCAACATGGTGAAACCCTGTCTCTACTAAATACAAAAAAACTAGCTGGGCATGGTGGTGAGTGCTTGTAATCCCAGCTACTCAGGAGGCTGAGGCAGGTGAATTGCCTGAACCCAGGAGGCGGAGGTTGCAGTGAGCCGAGATCGCGCCATTGCACTCCAGCCTGGGTAACAAGAGCAAAACTTCTCAAAAAAAAAAAAAAAAGTATAGTTCAATAGCATTTTTGTAAATACTCATTTAGACTAGCTAAAATCAAGTTATGTATCTTAGTTAATAGCCAAAACTGATAATCTGGGGAAAAAAAGCCTGTAGTGACACACATTGGAGGTGCTTTGTAATTAGTATATTAAGGAGACAATACATTTCAAGAATTGCTTAAATTCTTATACCCAGATTTAAGCATGTGAACATATGAGACTTTTAAACATACAATTAAAGCTATTCATCATAATTTGCTATACTACCAACATTAGTTACTTTGGAGCGTAAGTCAAATGGTTTAAAGTAATCCTGTAACATACCTAAAGAACACCTTCCTATATTACGCATGCAAATTACTTCTCCATGTAAAGTTCTTTTCACTTTAATTTCTACGTTACCCAGCTCTGAAGTCACTACTCGGGCTTATCATGGTCCACAGACAAGGAGGGGGGCAAATAACCAGGACTGGTCAAAATATATATGGAGATATATATATATATATATGGATGGCACAGCAGAAGGAAACAATTTTGGAAGTGCAAGCCTTCAAGAAGCAGCATATTATGATAAACCCCTCCTACAGAAAGGTATCATTTTTATCACTGATACCACAGGATAAATTATATATTATGCCATCTTCAAGTAACAGTTGAGGCAATAGCATAAATGCAGAGGCATTACAATGATTCCCACTTAATACAAGAACTATATAGACCAACACTTCTCTACAGTTTTCTTGTTGCCAGTTAAGTACAGTTTTACTTTTATAGCTTAACAATGAAGGGTCATACCCCGAAGCCAATACATATACCTAGCATTTCAGTCTAAGCTTATCCACATACATAACTGAAGTCAATTACAAGTTTTGGCCTAGCAATGCTAGGAGAACTTCTTTGTAAAGTAGTTTTTACAGGTATTACACTTCATTTTGCACACGGAAGTCATCATACATACAGGGCGAAGTCAGAGCTTTTATATTTGCCTTTATTCTTCATTTAACTTTTTAAAACACTACTATAGTAGATTAAAACAAAAACAAGAGCAAGTAGTGAGCATATTATGATTACATCCTTACTCATTCACTACAGCACATAAAATGCCAGCAGTGAGTGTTATTCACTGGCCCATTAAGAGGTCTGACACTGAATACCACCTCTGGGATGATGTTCATCATCCTCATATGCTTCTCCATTGTAATGGCGCCATCTTTCCTGATTTGGATCAAAGTCCACCAGTTCTTCTTGATCCATCTCATCAGTCTCTTCCACCTCCTTCCTCTCCAGTAGTTTTTCCAGCAAAGACAGTTTATCAGGAGAGAGAAAGCCATTCTCAGGGAAGTTTACCTTAAATTCGATGATTAGGTGACCCTTTTCATATGGTCTATAATAAATTGGCATGCCTTCATTTAGTATACACTTGATATCTCCATGCTTGACAATCTGACCTGGATGAGAGGTGATGACTATGGCTCGGTTGTCAAGAGTAGATATGGGCTTTTGGAAGCCACACAGTGCTTAAACCAGCTGTATGTCCATACACAATGAAAGGTCTTCTCCTCATCGAGTAAAAACAGCATGGTCCTTCTGATCTAATACAATGATTATATCTCCAAGCTCCAGTCCTGGTTCTTGGTCTCATTCACCATGGAATGTTATCTTCTGGCCATCTTTCATGCCTTTGTCAATATGAACTTCTAGAATCTTCTTCTCTCAAACTATCTTCCTTCCATTGCAGCTTTTACATCTATCTTTAGGACTGATCCACTCCCCATGGCCCTGGCGCTCCATGCACACAGACTGAATTTGCTGAACCATTCCAGGTCCTATCTGATGAATTCTTATTTGCATTCCAGTACCTCGGCAATTGGGACAGCACTCTACTGCTCCTTTCTTACCTCCTCTACCTTTGCATTTGTCACAAATCACATTCTTTTGCAGAGCCAGTTTTCTTGTTGCACCATTATATAAGTCTTCTAGGGTTACTGAGAGCTGATGTACAACATTTTTACCTCTCCTTTCTCTCTGCATCCTTCTTCCTCCTCCAAAAAACATATCAAAGATGTCCATGGGAGAGCCCAAACCGCCACCTGCTCCACCCTCTTTAATTGCCTGTTCTCCTCCTTTGTCATATAATTCCCTTTTATTTGCATCAGAGAGAACTTCGTAAGCTTGAGATATCTGTTTAAACTTCTCTCCTTCATTTGGATTCTTATCAGGATGGTACTTGAAGGCCAGTTTTCTATAATCCTTTTTCAATTCTTCCTGAGTAGCATTGGGTTTGACTCCCAAAGCATCGTAGTAAGTGGTTTCTTTCACCATCTTCTACTGCCGGTGAGTGGGCTGAGGTCGGTGTGTGAGGGAGTGGGAAGGAGCACTGAGCTGTGCACAGCTAGGGCAGCTACAGCTCCTCTGCCTCTCACTGAGCGTTCTGGAAAGTTCCTCCTCTTTTATTATTTTTTATTTGATCTTATCTTCAACCTCACAACACTATGGGAAGATAAAAATGGGAAAATAATACACACATGAGCATGCTAATGATCTTTCTAGGCAAGGACTTATATAATCCAAGATATTTCTTTTTTTGTTGGTTTTGTTTTGTTTTTATTCATTTGTTCGTGTCTAGATTTTTTTTTTTTTTTTTTTTTTTTGTTTTTGAGACAGTAGTCCCAAAGTCCAATTCCAAGTAGCTGGAATTACACATGCATGCCACCAAGCCCAGCTAATTTTTGTAGTTTTAGTAAGACGGGGTTTCACCATGTTGCCCAGGCTGGTCTCAAACTCCTGACCTCAAGTGATCTGTCTGCCCTGGCCTCCCAATATGCTGAGATTACAGGTGTGAGCCACTGTGTGGCCCGAGATATTCCTTATAGTAGAGTAGCGCTCCTATTCATGTGAAGCTCAGTCTTCTAGCAAATCCAGGCCTTTGGAACTAGAACCAGAACCTTGAGCGAAGCTAAGAAGACTTCTGAGTAGGGGCCAACAGCAAGAAACAATACACTGAGCCATCCTCAGGCCTTCATCAGACTGTTGTTTTTTAAAAAGGAGAGCAAGTGAGAATCACAGGTATAGGCTAACAGCTTTGCAAATTAACTGCTAACAGCCAAAGAGGCTATTCAGGAAGTATAAATAGCAGGCTTAGTAGCTCTAAAAATCTAAGTCAGTAGAGGAGAAGAGGAACAGGGGACACTCAGACTTAGGAGAGGAGGTTTGCAATGGGGATGCTCAAACTTAGGAGCGTAGAGACAAGAGGAGGGACCAGCAAAGGAGGCCAAGAAGGAGTGAGCAGTGAGGTAGAAGGATCCCGGGGTGTGTGACAAGCCGCGTGAAGAAAGCGTTTCCAGATGAATTGTGACAGATGCTGATAGGTCAAGTAAGATGAGCACTGAGAACTGACGATTGGCTTTAGTAATGTGGAGATAATTAGTGACCTTAATGAAAGCAGTTTGAATGGAATGGTGGGAGCAAAGGTCTGATTGAAGTGGGTTCAACATAGAATAGAGAGAGAGAAACAAGAATAGACAACTCTTTTGAGAAGTTTTGCTATAAAGGGAAGAAGAGACGTCAGGAATAAGTTGAAGGGAAGTAGAATCAAGTTAGGTTTGATTTTTGTTTTGTTTTGTTTCGTTTTAATGGAAAAAATAACCGTATGTTTTCTACACTGATGTAAACTATCCTGAAGAGAGAGAATTGCTGGAATGATACAGTTGACTCACTGAGAATGATGGAATTGTGTAGACAATAGGAGGGTTTGACTATTGCTTGGAGCATGGAATAAGAGAAAAAGCTGTCTGTGGCCATGGGGGCCAGTAGGTACTTAGATGCGATATTAGAGGCTTGTTGAAGTTGTCTTCCACTTATATCATTAGCTTTCATCAGATTCTTTTATTTCTGCGTCTGTGATCTTAAAGAGATGAAATACTCTGTCCAAGACACCCTATAAAGTGCTATTATCTTCTACTTCATAGAGAAAATAGGGGTGATTATGCAATAATCCTGTCAACTGACCGACAAACATGCCTCCATCCACATCTATCCTCATTGTCCTCCTTCCAGCCACCGAAGAAACATTACTTGTCTTATGAAACTTTATCCCTGCTGCCTGAGTTCATGGTCTTCTCCTCTCTTCTCCATCACAGTTTTGCCAAATCTCTTCTCTTCTCCGTCACAATTTTGCCAAATCTTGTTGACTCCTCCTAACTAGTTCTCCTCCTCCTAACTCTTCTTTTTCAATCACCTTTTCTA